CTGCCACAGGGCCTTCACCTGCAGTGTCCATCTGAGGAGCTCAGGGACTACTACAGTGATTCATAAGTATTGGGAGAAATATTTATAAGACTAAAATAAAAAATAAACCTGGATAGTAATAATTAAAAATAATTTAATTGGAAATATAATGAACTATGGTCTTTCAGACAGACAAAGATGCATATTAATACCTACATGGCCCTTTCTGCATGTTGCAACCTGGAAAACCCTCAACATTTTTCTAGCTGTAACTGACTAGTCAATTGAACTGGCGCATGTCCTATCAGCATGAAAAAGTACGCTTCATTTATTTGCCCTCTTCTCCCCTATACCTCACCATGAGTTTGACCACCATTTCACTTGATCCAAATCTTGAACTTCATCTCATTGGCCAGCCCACTCCTGACCTGGCCTTTTGCTCCTTCAAAGCCCCGCTGAGACCAGACAATGCCCACTGTGAAGGCAAAAGGAAGTGAGTTCAAAGCTTCCTCGCTGCTCTGAAGCAGCATCAATAGGAAAATCACACTGAAAGAGAAAATTCACCCATATTAATTCTCACACCACCTTTTAAATTCTTTGTAGTGGGTCATATTTAAGGGAGAAAGGTAGTTTAGGGATAGTGTTTTCAGGTAAAGAAACTACATATGGAAAAGAAGCCAATGAAGTTACAGGTACTGAGCTGTTTATTTTGTGTGTGTTTAAATCATGGTTCAATTGGAGAAACAGATTTTGCTTAGAAGATGACTGAAAGTGAGAAGTTAGAAAAAATAGGCAATTATCTTATACTATCTTAAGGTGATTATTAGCATCTTAAAATTATGTTATTTAACTGCTTGGTTCTTTACTCTTTAACTCTGTGAGTAGGTGAAATCTAGGCCCTTGGCCAGGCATAATGCTGAAAAGACAATCACACAAACCACTTACCTTATTAAACACATCTTCCATTGACAAACTCTAATGCTTTAAGCATACATGGGAATGACTAATATAGGATAAAAACCGAACTGACATTCACAGAATGGCTCTTAATGGACAGAGTACAGATACGCCATGAAAGGAAATGATAAAGAATAAAATAAACTATTTTCTTACGGCTTTACTGGTCTTTGTACTAAAAATCTCCTGATGTATGTTACCATTCTAGGAAACAAGTTTAGGTAAGGAAACCCATGGTTACAGAAATGAGACCCTCTGTTTTATTTTTCCTGACACCAAAGATTTCTAGTGTCTGCTCAGTGGACAGAGGGGATCTTGAGAGATCTAATACTGTCAGTATATGAAAGCTCCCTGTCAACTACAATCTTAAATCATCAAGCTACAATCTTAAATCAAACTTCTTTTACATATGGCACCAAGATGAAGGCCTGTATACAGAATAAACCATCTGGTATACTATGTATATATGAACTTGCTGTATCCTGAGTAACAACAACAACAAAACCAAGACAAAGGCAACTCAAAAGGAACTTGGAGAAGGAGAGGGGCTGGACTAGAAGTTTACCATTAACTGTCTTTATAGGTATTTTCTGTTAAATATTTTCCTATTCAAAGAAGGTTATTAAAGATTTAACAAATATAGGAGCTGGGGGAAAAAGGTACAGTGGCAAATGGGATAGTCATTTTTTAAGTCTTATATCATTTCTTATATATTTTCTAATATTAATGAAATAAAAATAAGCCTCATAGTTTTTTACTCTAATACGACAAAATTCTCATATCCTAAGAAAAAAATTAAAGGACGTTTTCTTACATGTAATAAATTTAGATTTATCTAGCCAACCTGAATTTTACAAAAATTACATCTAACTTTTTAAATAAAGTTTCTTACTTCCAAAAGTCAATGTAATATACACTCATGTAAGTTAATTTATAAAACCAGAACACTTTTGGTTAGAAACTAATTCATTGTAGTAGGAATTCTAGAATTTCTACAAGAAAGTCCCTGATATGATCCCACACTAGGATTTGGGGAAAGGAGGAACAATATTCTGTCTTGCTTTCAAACAGGTCAAAGCCTACGAAAGAAAACCAACCTTCACCCCACATTTATTCTAAACACTAGAAACTGAAAGTACTCGAACTCAGAGAGAAGTGGTGTGAATACAGCATATAGTCATCATTCAATTTTCAAAATCAAAACGTCTTGTTAAACTTCTAGTTTTCACTTTCAGAGATTTCTGAAGCCTATGCTGATGTAACTAGTTCTTTCTTTCTTACACATTTGACTAAACTTACACTCAGCAGACCTACCAAACTGTTATCTGGACCAGGTTAATTGCATAGGAATTTTTTTTTTACTTTGTTTACATTATTCTTAAATTAATTTTTAAAAAGCATAGTAAAGAGTCTGAGGACAAATTATTCAACTGTTTATCATACATAAGACCGCATGACTATAATACAAAGGGGAGTTCTTTTTCATTTAACGTTACAATATACACAGCAAGTCCGGACTAGATCTTACAATCTGAACACAGGTATTTAACCTTTTCCATGCTGTTTATGTTTACAATGCACAGAAGTCCTGTAACCAAACTGTGTAGTAAAGCACACAAAACTGGACTGTAACATAACACAGTATGCAGAGCAGTGGATTGTATGATTTTCTTTATGTAAGTATCGGTTTAAAAACTGCTTTTGTTTTTGGTGCTTGCTAAGATGTGGCAACCAGCACAGAAAAAAATGACCTGACCCATGTAATATCTGAACCTTATATTCCTAAACAGCAGGAACTACTGAATTCTTTTGATATTGCTATACTCAAGATGATATCCTTTTATTTACTGTAAACCTTTATGAACGATCAAGTTCAAAAATCATCCACAGGCTTGACATATAATTACAAAATAAATATGGATTTCCTGATTAACAACAAAAAAATTTTCTGGTTTATAAAAAACGATTATTCCCAAGTTTCCATTCACATTTACATAGTTTTAAGCCTTTCTTTTTTTAACTGTTTACATATAAAAACTTGCTTTGTTCAGAAAAACTTGACCTTGTTAGCCACATGGAATTGACCAATAAAAGGAAATGTGTGGTGTTCTGCTGAATTTTTTGAACAGGGTTAATCGGCAGAGGTAGATAACTGCTTCTTTTCTAGGCTTCTTTTAATCCTGAACAGGTAAAATTACTTATCTTCATTCTCCCAATTCAACCATTCAAAAGAAAGACTAACTCTCCCTAAAATTGGTCAATTTAAAATGGGAACACAAATTTAAGGACTGCCAGACTGTGTTACATTAAGGCAGCATTAATCTCAAAACTAGGCACCTGTTAAATACCTGCCTGTTACCTTCAGGTCGTGCATCAAACTTGTTTACTCCTGCTCATAATATTCAGGACCTGTTGGTGCAATCAAGGTCTTGCTTTCAAGTTTACAAGTAGGTTAATCAGGAATACAAGAATCAACTGCTGGTTCCATAGCTTCTGGATCCAGTGTCCCTTTCCTTTCAGAAGCCTGAACACATTTAAAATGTAACAGATGTTGTAATCTTGAGTTAGATGTCAATCTATTATGTTCAGTACACAGATTGCTGTAAATGTATTGGCTATGGATTCAACAACAGTTCCAGTTTTGTTTAAGCAATAGTACAGCCATAATTTTCAACTGACATTTAAAAATGGTCTAGTTACACCTTGTGTCAAAGTGCAGAACTGCTACATTATTGGTTACAGACATCTATGTGCTATAAAAACAGCTTTGGTACAATAAATTATCAAAAAAGAAAATAAATTTTTGTAAAATTCACAGCATAATTGTGAGGCAAAAAAGCAGTCACATAAAATTCTGCATTTTTTAAAAATGTTCAGGATGAACAGAAGACATCTTTGTGCAGAAGAAATGGTGGAGATACCACGTGCCGAGAAAAAAAGCAAAAGAAAAAGTAAAAAGCAGGAAGGGACACAGCTGTAGCTATTTTCATCAAAGCAAACCACTACTTCTGTGACCTTCAACCAATAAGGAAGTCAACTTTATGACACACGCAAAGTGACCTTGCAATACCTTACAATTAGTGGGTCACAAAAGTCTATTTTAAAAGAAAGGCCTCTTGAATTACCCATTCTCTGTGTTTTCAGCATTAAGGACTGTCTGCAAAAACATGTCCGAAAGTGATTGCATCTGAAATGGCAGGCTCTTCTAATTTAGAGTCCAAATCCATAAGGCCAAAGGTTATCCCAAAGACCACCACTCAGACCTCCCCAGGACTGGCCAGGACTGACCCGTTGATTGCTTCTCAGTGCACCTTGGTTTAGGAGACCAGTCACGTTCCTTTACTACCTCCCTGTGGCCTCAAAAAACAGGAGGCCCACAGAATCCCATGTAAATGCTGCTTTGCTCCTCAGTAAGTTCAGACAGGAGAGTTCTGATCCCCGCCACTTAGCATGCTTACTGTGCCTTACAAACTTCAACACAACCGTCCCATTCATACAGCTGAAGATGATGTTTGTGTAAGCTGGAGGTCCCTCTTCCCTACAGTACTGCATTTTCGTGCCCAAGTGTGTTTGGAGGACTTAAAAATCCAATAATCCAATTTCCCACCCCCACCCCAAACAAAACAAAGACAGGGATAAAATTTTTTTAACAAAAAAACTAAACATGGGGGAAACCACCCTCATGGGGCCCTTGATGCAAATTATGTGCAGTGCCTTTTTATTTTAAAATTAGTTGGCAAATGACGAAGACCAACAATCTGAACATTAATGTTTGTTGACTAGAAAGGAGGGAAAAAAAAGAAAACTCTACTATGATTGGGATATGGCAAGTTAAAATGGGGGCGGCAAAAGGAGATGCTACCTCTGAGCTATCCATGACGACGGGTTTGGACATGGCTCTTTAAAAAAAAAAAAAACCACAAAAACCAAAAAACAACTTCATTGTCCCTTTGCAATCTTTTCAAGTTAAAACAAAATAAAACAAAAGTCAGCTTTGCCCTCTCGTAGCGGTTCAGTGTGTTAATCTCCTTCTGATTCAAGCAGCTTTGCACTTTGTTTTTGGAAAAAAACACCACTTCTATAAAAACACACAAGAAACAAACTCAAGTTTCAATTTAGTCACGAGCTAGCTACAGGACTTTGTTGAACACAAACTCCTGTCATGGGAGATTCTTCTCTATCAATTCCTTGCCTCATTGTCAGATGTCCTTCAGTCATGTAATGTGCAGGACCTGTATTAGCAGAAAATTGGTACGTTGGATGTCCAGCTATGCCAGTCTCTTGGCGAGGATTGGAGTAGACGGTTAAATTAACGTCCATAGCTCCATTCTGTCCAAAGTCCAAGGTATTAGCAGCCACTGGGCGATTCTGGTAGGCCTGATTGCCTTGATTACCAGTAGAGGAGGAAGATGTGGAGGAAGAAGTAGTTGAGGAAGACAGGGATGTCATGGAGTGGTGACTATGGCCAACCTCCATAGAATCCTGGGTAGAGGAGCTATTTGTTGGAGAATTGTAGACCCTTGGCCTGGTCCGGTTACCCAAAGCTTGTTGTCCATGGTGGTGGTGGTGGTGGTGGTGGTGATGATGGTGATGGGAACTATTTCCATGGTGATGATGCAATGCATTCTGTTGAGGGGCTACATGAAAGGTTGTTTCTTGAACAGGATGAGTTTCAACAGTGACTTGTGTAGGAGCTTCAGTGCCTGACCAACCAAGAGGAGCAGGGAATTGCTGACGCACCTGCAACAACAGATTTTAAAAAATTTAGTCATAATTCCATGTCTATGCTTTTGTCTTCAAAATGTCAGTTGTATAAAGCAAGATTCCAAATGGGCTCAAGAGTAAAAAAATACATTACTAAAGAATTTGCAAATTTTAATAAATTATAAATAGGCTTTTATTTCATTATTCTTTTCCTTTCCCATGAAACATTACTCATGCCAAAACTTGACAGTTTTTTCCTATAAAAGATGAGTATTTCTTTAAGAGATCCCAAAGTAATTCTGAACTTTCCTGTAAAGTTCCTCTTCACTCTTCATTCCATATTTCAGTGAAAAACAAACATCTAGTTGCTCAATAATACTGTCAATCCAATTACTAAAGAAAGCTTTACTGAGTTGATCTTCATTTTATATTCTAAATGGCCACTTACTGCCATCTTCACATCATCATTCCAAACTCAGCCATTAATGTCTTTTTTAAAGACAAATAATTATGGCTTTCTAAACAAACTCCCTGTTCTCACTCTTTTCTATCTCCAATCCATTCTTCAAATATCAAGAGGACTTTTAAAAAAAGTACAAATCTCATCATCTCCTTTTAAAAATGTTTTAAATAATTCAGAAAAATAAAATGCTATTTTGTTTTTCATGGTAGGTGTTCCATAAAGCTCCACATACATTGAATCAGTTAATACGGAACCAGCTCGGAATATACCTTTTGGCTAATTCAACTGCTGCTCTGTACATGTCTGCAAATGATCCCCAAAAGTGCAATATTTGGGGGCTACAAAAAGTAGTTATTAAGTAATTTCACTTATAAATACAGAATCCATGAATACTGAGAACTGACTATAATCCAAAATCCACACAGTTGGTTGATTCCCTCGGTCACCTGAGATATAACTTCCCAATGGTTAATGCAGTCCTTCCCATAACAAGAAAGGCAGATGGTAAAGTCTTGTCTTGGTCCCCATTAGTAATTAGCAAAGCAAAGGAGGAGGGCAGAAAATATAAAAGGCTGAGAGAAAAGTGGGACAGAACATGGCTTGTTCCAAAAAAAAAAAAAAATCTAGTAAAGGTAGAGGTAGTAAAGAAGAGAAGAAAGGAAGATGTAGAATAATGGTTTGGTAGGGAAGACATCAAGATCACTGAAATAATTTTCCAAGTACAAGGGAAAGACAAAAAAAACTAGTTTAAAGTAGGAAAAACAGCACGATAAGACTGCTCTTGTTCAAGGTCACTGAGCTGTAGAGGTGGGAAGGCAGTTGATGGGATGAACAGAATACCTCGAAACCAGTTAGAAAACTCTTTAAGGTAGACCAGAGAAGATGGTAGCAACAGTGAAAAAAGTGAGGTAGAGAAAATAAATATGTAAGTTATTTAGAACCTACATCATTTCACTGAAAAGGTATTCATTCATATGAGAAGTTGAGAATAAGCCTTAACACAAAGGTTTTAGGACTTGAGTAAATGGGTGTGCATGGGCTATTTACAAATTTACATTGGAAGCACTGAAGTGCAGGTAAAAATGATGTTATCTATTCACGATGTATATCTGTAGTGTTCAGCTAATGAGAATCTCAAAGCGATCAAATAATAGCAGAACAAAGACTCTGGGCTCAGGAGTGAGAGTTAAAGCAGAAATAAAGACGTAGGAGTATTTAACGTCTGTATCTTTATGTATATAGATGGTAAGTGCTGTCATTTGTTAAGAGTGGGTGAGTTCTTCGAAGAAGTGTGTAATGTAAATAAAGATATGATCCAGGAATATCAAAATTTAAGCAGTGGGCTGGAAGGAAAGAATCCAGAAAAGGGAGACAAACACACTGCTACTTAGAGGAAAGGGTACAAAATGGCAGTTAGGGAAGAATAAGAAACGAAGGGACATCTTGTCAAATAAATTAGAAGGAGTGGTTTTTAAAAGTGAAGAGCAACCAACACGGTCATATGCTGTTGAGGAATGAAGAAAGGCCCTAGTCAGTGTCCAGTGAACTCATCAACAGAGGAGGATTTCAGTGGTGCTAGAGGCAGGCACTCAAAACAGGCAAGTGAAAGGATTTTTAAAAGATTAAGAATGAAGATCAGAGTTAGTAGAAATATAGGATGAGAAAGACTTGGGGTCTTGGAAAGGTTCTGTTTAAGATGGGAGAGATCTAAGAATGGTCAAGTTCTGATAGAAAAACAACAGTCAGTAGGAAAGGTTAGTGAGAAGATCACAAAGAGGGAGCAGAACATAGGTGGAGCTGGGCACAGGCAGACAGAAATACATGGCTTCTAACTGAAAACAAGGAATGGACAACTAACTTACATATGTAGGGAGAATGACATATTTGATGACAAAAAGTTGAAGAGTATCTTTCCCTACAAAGCAAGACTATAATATGCACAGAAGGGGAGTGGGAAAGAGTGGAAAATCTTGTAACAATTAAAATAGGTAACTGGAGAGAGAGCGTGCAAGGTTGCCCAGTGGAAGTGGGTAAACATTAATTAACAGTAGCAGCAATGTATGTGTAGTTTTTTTTTTTTAATGTATGTGTAGTTTATGTTTTAGTATGGCTTACCTAGCCACTGAACTTGGTTCTACCATGTGAATGGGTGGGAATATACAAAAAGGGTGTGTTAGCCTATCCACAGGGGATTGACTAGTCTCTCCAATCTACAAAGGGTCTGGCTAGTCTCCCCAATAAAATGAGCAGCTCTAGCAGATTAGACCCTCCCCATCAGCAAAGAAACAGAAGAAGGAAGAGAATGTAGGACATGCCTCAGGAGCAGACATTCTTGCTCCAGCTACACCTATAGCAGCAGCAGCAGCCATGGCCAAAGCAGAGAACCAGAGAAATAGGACATGAGAAGGAGCTGGCTGCTATTTCCTCCATGGAAAGAACCAGAGATAAGCTAAGAACATTTGCTCAAATTTGTTCAACAATTTGGGGTGGGGGAACAATATTGGCAGGACTGAGAACTTTGTAACACTGGTCTAAAACTGTGAGGCTCAAAGCTGAGGTGCCTGCATGCACGTTCTGGAAGTTTCCCTGACTGTTTTCTGCTACAGATGTGGATTATAACCTTCTGACCTCCCAACACCGATCTGTGTGGTCTGTGAGTGATCACGTCAGATTTTGGACCTAGTAAAGCAGGAAAATTGGTATTGAGATAACGAGAAGGACAGGAGGTTGGGGAAATGTCTGAATTCAAGGGAATTGGTTTTGTGTTACTGATGTCGCTGCTGTCCTTTGTGAAGTTGGTAAATGCTATCCCCACGTAGACTTTGCTCTTTATAAGCTATACTACTTTGTGTATGACTTTGTCCAGGAGCAGTCAGTAGTACCACTTACAAGGAGGAGAAGATTAATAAATTTCACTCCTCAAATAATATATTGACTTCTTTTCATAAAACATCCTAAGGCTATCCTCAAATATATATAAACATTACTTTCAAAAAGAAGATGTAAATACCTTTCTAATATCTTTTTCATCTGTATTTTTTAAACAAATAAAGACCATGACACCAGCCCCTCCAAATGCCATCAAGACTCAGTGTAAGTTAATTAACCAATGAAATCTCAGTTCTCACTGTAAAATGAAGATCCCACAAATGAGAAACTCAGAATCTTGCTGTGTGGCAAATCAGGTAACAAAGAAAAACATTTGGGACAATAATAAATGGTATGCACCCAATGTGTGTTAGTTAATGTCTATTAAAAGAGACTGAAAATTGTTACTTATAATTAATTATAGAATCTTAATATTTTCCACTGAATAAGAAAGCTATACACCTTTAAAGTAAAGGACTTAAAATTCTAAAGACAATATTGCTAAGCCCAAGGGCTAGGAGCTTGTGCGTAGCTGTGGTGTGAACTCTGACCTGGGGGCTGTGCGTCTCACAGTCCATCGCCTGGACAGCGGCCGTGAAGTGTCCCCCACTGTGCCGGTGCTGGTGCGTTGGGTCCGACCTTGCTCTCCCACTGTTGCTTGTCCCCGATGATCCACCTTAAATATTCCAACACATTACCACTTGTGAGTTCAAAGTTTACATATATTGTTAAGTTTATCTTCTGATACTTTAATATTAAAAATTATAGCATATCACAAAACTATAAGACTTTCTGACTACAACTACGTTTTTCACATCAACCACTGAAATAAAAATTTAGTGACATTTGCTTAAGCTAAGGGAAAATTTAAAAAGCAGTTCTACTTTAAAAAAATTCAAATTCTGGTTAATAAATAGTTAAATCTACAACTACCAAGTAGAATTTATTACATACATAATTAAGTATTGGCACTTTTTGGTAGATCAATTTATTAGTAACACAAAGAGATTACTTAACATCATTTTTTCCTAACAAATTGTACAAACACTGTAAAAGATGTTCACAAATGAGATAAAAACTATTTGAAATCTAAGTGAAATACCAAAGAACAGACCTGAGCTTGAAGATGTACTAGAGGTGGTGCCTGAAGATTGTGACTGCTCCATTGCTGGACTTGTGGATACACTATTACTTGTATTTGTACCTTCATCAGCTGTTTTCTTGAAAAAACTATGCTGCAGTGCATAATACGGTTGGATTCGAGTTTTGGGGTCATAATCAAGCATCCTTAAAATGAGGTCTTTAAACTTCAAGTAGTCAGCTACAGTATGACCCGATTCCCCAGCACGGCGCCCACCAGGTCCTCCTGTTTCTACTCCAAGGATATTGTGAAGTTTACGAGTGGCTGGTGGTTTGTACTCCTACAGGAGAAGAAAAAGAGTAAGACTCATTTAAATTTAATGGTATAAGTCTACTGTATTTTCCAAGACAAACTGGCATAAAAGCACTTGAGAAAGTACCTCCAAGAAAAGGGTAGAAGGTGCCTCACAAACAAATACAGAAGGTGTGTATTCTTTGCATAAAAATAGTATGTAACTTAGCTTCAAGTAAGTTTTAACATATTAGCCATTGAGGTACAGTTTACAGTTATACCTTCTGTATTTTTCACACATTATTATTCTAAATACTCAGCAGTTAAGAGAAATACAACATAATTTTAAAGATTATCTAACCCAGGGAGCAAACTGTGACATGGACAAGGGTCTGTATTTTCTGGATGGGTCTAGCAACAAATGGTTTTTACATTTCAAAAGAGTTATAAAACAATAAAGAGTATACATAATGGAGGTCTGCAAAGGACAAGATATTTAATATCTGGACCTTCCCAGAAGTGGTGGGTGGTATGCAGAGTCTCCCTTACTCCAGTGATCCTGACTAAATTTCCTGCCCTAATACACAAAGAACATGAATATGACCATGCATGAGTGTATCTCATGTCCCCGCTCATATTAAAGAAATCAAAAGCCAATCACTTGTTTCTTTTTAATAATTATTATAAGGAGCCCTGCTGGGACAAAGATTTAAGTGCTCAGCTGCTAACTAAAAGGCTGGCAAATAAAGCCAACCAGATGCCATAGCTAGAAAGATGTGCCCATTTGTTTCTGTAAGCTTTACAAGCTTGGAAACTCTACAATGAACTACAGTATTACTATGAACTGACAGACAATGGGAATGGGTTTGGATTTGTCAAGAAATATGTTAAATATTTTAACAAGTGCTGAGAATTTTTTCCAAGAAAAGCATTTTTATATGAAGTTGTATAATAATTCTTATATTCTTGCTTTTAGTTGATTCCTACGTGTACAGAATACAACAGCTCCAGAGTTTTCAAGGCTGCGGACTTTCAGAAGCAGTAGATCTGTCTTGTGATGCACATTTGGGTGGGTCTCAGCCTTTCAATTAGTAGGACAGCACCTGACCATTTACATCTATCAAGGACTCTTTTAAGATCCCTAAGAATATTTAGTTTTGGATTTTTAAATTCTACATAATGAAAAATCTTCTCTCTGGTGCGACTAACAAAAGTACACCAAAGATGTGGGTAAGAAAAGGATTGATCAACTCTGAGTAAACTTCCAACTGGCCAGTGAGAGGTCAAGGACAGTGACAGACAGGAAAGTTGCAAAAGTACCCTGACCTAAAACTTGTCAATGACTATAAAATGGTGAGCAAAGCAACAATGGAAAAGATCTCTCCAAGGATAAAGGTGATAATGAGACTTTATGGCTGGGCAATAATACACAGAGATTTCTGATCTATCTCTCTCTCTTTCTCCATGCTTAAGGGGAAGTAGTGATTCTTCTTTTAAAACATGTGAAGTCAGTAGTAAACAAATTCTAAATCACAAGGCTAGAAATGACTTGGTTCTACACTGGTGGCCTAACAAAGCAAAAGGTATACATCTTTCTGACAAGTGTGACTTACTTACATTCTATTGCTTTTAGAAGTCTAACAAACATTAAAAAGTTATAGGTACAAGCAACAACAACAAATATCCTCCAAAATACACAATTAAAAGCCCATATTAAGAAGAAAACTTAAGGTGCACATAAAAAGACAGCCTAGATACTGAAATTAACAAATAACATATTAAAGTAACTATAACAGATTGTGTTGTTTAAAATGGAGATAAAATTATTTTTAAAAGGCAAATGATAATATTTTATACACATATAAAATATATATTAATCAGAAACGAAGACTATTTTATGTTAAAAACAGTAGATGAGACTCAAAAGAGGGGGAAAAAACAGAGGACAGCATAAGTTATTACCAAAAAACAAAGAAATCAGAATGAATAAGTCAAAGAAAAACTTGTATCAAGCACTCTAACATAAATGCACAAATGGAGAAACTGAAAGGGAAGCACAAGACATCAAAGACCATCTGCATCTTAAGAGTGAAAACACTTGAGAAATAACTCAACCCCGAGAAGTAAAAAAACAGCCAACTCCTAAAGTGAGAAAGACATTAAAGAATGCTGTATTTAAAGATAAAAATAGTTTTGGTTTAGTAAAAGTACTGAAAATCAAATATATGAATACTAAATCTGTTAGAATTTAAAAGAAATAGTATACAAAGAACAAAAAGAGTAAAAATTACCACTGACTTATCAGAAATAATGAACACGAAAAGCATCTAGTCTTCCTCCCAACTTTTTGCAACTGTATTAAAAGTCATTTGTGGCTACAGCAGCGCAAATGTGCATACACATACGCTCACACACACACAAAAATAGAATTCTAATGGGGGGTGGGGTGTAAGTGTCAAATCAGAATTCTAGAAAAAATCCAAACCCGAATGCTGTTTAGTCACTCTCCACTCACAGAACACTACATCAGGTTTCTGAGGCTGTAAGTCTTAATAGATGTCTTTCTTTCAAAGGTGGATTTCAACCTTTAACTACTATAATATCAGGATTCCTTTCTAGAATTACAAATATATCAACAACAAAGGTAAAATAAAGACATTTTAAGATGAAGGCACAGTTGGGAGAGTTCATTAACTGACATACAGAGATGATGTTAGTTACAGAATAGGGTTCAGGTCTTTTGTGCAAAGCTTACTCTTAAGTTGTAATCGACTCGACAACACTTAACTGCTAAGTGAAACTAGTGCTGTTATATCTGGAACACTCATCCACTTTGTACATCGATCTTTGTCAATGTGCTGTATAAGTAACCTGAATTTGCTGTGATGCTGAACCTTGTGCCATTGGAGTATCAAATACCAGAACAGTTTCCCATTGTGGACAGTGTTTGGTGGAGCTCTCAGTTGTAAAAGAGGTTTGGAAGCAGGAGTGGCAAGCACTTCCTAAACCACAAGCCTCTGGAAACTCTGAATTTACAGAAATAAGGATAGCTATGAAGGGCATTAGGTCTTTTGTTCACAGAGTCCCTATGATTCATGCTCGACCAGACGGTAATGAACAAACACTACCACCACTCACAATACAATGAAATTTAAAAAGTTCTTTTTGCTAAGCCCAAATAACAGTAGAAAAGGAACCAAAAAGCATAAAAGGCAGATATGAGTAAATTAAAAGAGATCTATTTTTATTATTTTTCCTGTTTTAAAATTTAACATTTTTAAAAGAAATTTACTTAAGTAGGTAATAATGTTCTGTGACACTTGTAGCACACATAGAATACATGACAACACAAATGACTCAAAGGGGCGAAATAAATTTACACTTGATATTTCCACACAAATAACATATACTGTAAGATAAAATGTTTTGCACATTATACACTGCACATTAATATTAAAATAATATGCTTATTTTATATCTGTGTGGACATTTAAAAAACACAGTATTACAACTGTGTATCATGTGATATATCATTTGTATACAAATTACTAAATTAAAGACTTACACTGTGAAAGCAACTAATAAAACGTATTCATAAAGGAATAATATTGTGTTTTTGTAAACTGCACCTTTTATGTCTGTTTCCCAACTAGTCCTTCCTCCAGGAGGTATTTTCACAAGGGCTATTACACCAATTTTTTAAAATGTTGCTGTTTAAAGAAATTAGCACAAAAATGCTACAAAAATACCTCTCAGGAGAGGCAATGAGCAGTAAAAAATGCAGAAAATATGTGTAAGAGCAAAATATGATCGTTTAAAAGTCAAAGGAGAAGAAGAAAGAAAATACCCAAAGTATGAGATTAACACAAAAATGAAGAGAACAAAGAATACAACTAAGAAAACGATTTTAAAATCAACTATGCAGAAGAGACTACTATCCAACTGGATTAAAACATACCATCCAACGATACGCTGGTTGCAAAATTCACACGCTAAATATGAAGATGCATTTTATAATCTAAAACACAGGTATAAAGAATAAAAAGCAAAGAGCCCACATTTTTACTTAACGATTTTGTTTACTATGACCTACCCAGCACTATAAAGTGTTGCTAGGTCAAATTTTAAAATGTTGCTGTTTAAAAACAAAACACAATATATAAACATAGAAAGCAGCGAAGAAGACCTGGTAGGTAAAGTACAAAGTATGCATTATTCATATAAAGATACAAGAATACTACGGAAAGGCTATGAAGAAGAAAGGTAAAGTGGCTGTAGTAGTACAGACCTAATATAGTAGTGCAGACATAAATATAAAAATATAATTGATGATTAAGAGGAATATTGATGATAAAAGGTTCAATTTCTTAAAAAACAATAAAAATAATTCCCCATACAGACAGATCTAGGAACAGCTTCAAAAAACATAAATAAAGGAAGATTTAGGTGAATTCAAAATTATCATTAAAGAACAATAGTCCTCCCTTCTACTGAAAGAACACACATACTCTCTCTCACACACCCAGGCATGCACAAAATACGGATACTCTGAAGGAAGATGTAATTAAAAAAATTTTCTTTTCTCATGTAGCCTAGTTCGAAGGGAAATGAACTGCTAACTCAAAGGTGGCACCTCTCTCACAGTTCAAATCCACCAAGGGCTCAGCAGGGGGGGAAAAGTGAGCAATCAATCTCCTTCCATGTGACTTATAGCCTCCTAAATGAGTCAGTCATGAAATGAGTTTGATATGAAACAGAGAAGACTTGATGGTGGTTCAGTGGTTAAGGGTTCAAGTTGCTAATAAAATGGTTGGTGGTTTCAAAGAGAAAAAAGGGAAATATTTTGAGACAGCTCTACCCTATCATATAGGGTTACTGTGAACTTGATAGAATGGATTTGATGGCAAATACTACTAACACCATCAAACAAATTACCACTTCTTTTCAAGTACATGCAGATTATTCATCGAGACAGAAAGCTTAATACTGTAATATTTGATACCATAGTACTATTAAATTAGAAATCAGTATTTTAAAATTATGCAACAA